CTTTCTAAAATAATGTGGTTAATCACAGTTCTTTCATGATTTAAGAGGAGGGGCAAATAATTTTTCACGTAGGGAGGTAGGTTTGGACAGCTTTTTTCCCTTAATAAATGAAATCATAATTTCATGCATGCAGTTTGTATTTACTCAGGTTATCTTTGTGTAATATTAAAATTTGTTTGATGATCTGAATCTTTTAAGTGTGACAAATATGCAAACAATTAAAAAAACAGGAAGGGGGCAAAAACTTTTTCACACCACTGTATATACACACACACACAAGAAATACATAAGTTAAAAAAACATTTTGCTAATTTTATTAATATAAAAAATGATATAATGATTTTAAATTATTAACTTAAAAATTATTATTTGTAGTGGTATATGTACTATATATAATATAAATGTGTAATGTGTGTGCACTTCTGTGTATATAATTATATATAATTATTATTATTATTATTAACAATAACAACAACAACAGCAATACAATAACAGTACAATAAAAATATACATTATTAATAGAAATAATAATAAACGTGAATATTAGAATATTTTTATTGTAAAACAATATTTCAGCCAGAACGGTTTTTTTATTTAATTATTACACGTGTAATTGGCAGGATAAAATTAATGATGTCATTGTTTGCTTGCAATGTTGAGATAGTAATGCCACTTTTGAAAATTTGATGTGGTTTGACAGTAGTACTGTACTTTAGGCAAACAAGCAGTCTCAGAATTTGGAAGTTAGTGGCAGACACACTCTTATTCTGGGTCACATCATTAATGCAAAAGCCTTCTGGTGGAAGTGTGTCTGTGTAGAGTGTCTGCCTGAAGGCCCACAAGCTGTCTTTAAAACTTTGACTGATTAACCAGAAAACACACATACCATCAAATACATCATACATGTGAGAATATTACACAAACCTTCGAAAAACCATAAAATAATCATCTCACACCTCTACCCTGCACACACACAATCAACAACACACCAGCAAGACTAATTTTTTGTATGACTCTCTTTCTTTCTTTCGCCATAGTGATTTCATCCCTCCCTCTCTCTCTCTGTCCTCCATTAGATGGCAGATACATGCTTGAAATCTAAATCTTTCATTCTGTTGAAACCCTCAGGCTCCCTCGACAGAGACACTAAACATGACCGGTCTTTCATTTGACCACAGAAGAGTTTTGAATTCACTAAGCTGCCGTTTTGTTTCTATATCATATATACTATAAGGATAAATTGCTTTTATATGATGAGAAATATTCATTTTTTCATTAACAATTAAAAGCTTTTTTGGTTTAACTGTTGATTCATGGCAATCATGAAGATTTAAAAATGACTCACAATCCTGATTCCACACCATTCCCTTAATTTTCTGTCCTCTACAGTATTTAGTAGTGAAAAACCTAGGAATAACACTCAGAAACGAGCAAAAATATCTTGAAACTGATATTACTGCAGACTACTACAATAAGGCAGAGTAAATAAAGCATCACCTCCAGAAAATCATATGATCTTTGAGGCTATATATACACAGTCAAGAGTACTTCTGGCAATATTATGAATATTATTAGTGTAAGTTGCTTTAGATAAAAGCATCTGCCAAATGCATAATCAATAAATTAATTAAGGCACAAATCTGACTTCTGATTGTATTCCACTCTATTCCCTTAATTTTCTGTCCTCTATTTAATATGAATACAGTAGCGAAAAGACTAAGAATAGTGATAAAAAATATGTTGAGACTGCTTAAAACAGTGCTGCTGTGAATTGTTGTTTTGCTTCAGCATTGATGCAAGACTCTTTGACAGGGTAAAAGCAGGCAGGGAACAATCAGGGTGGAAAAAGGGAATAACATTAAGAAAAGAGGGAGAGAGAGAGAGAGAAAGTGATAAACAGGAGAAGTATGTATGAGAGGAGCTTTTGCTTTTGATTTATTCATATCTGACCATTAACCTAGAAACACTATGTTGTTTGTAGGTTTGAATGTGTGTGTTTTTGTGGCTGCGTGTGAGGCTTAGTAATTGTTTATAAAAAGAGCAAGAGAGAGAAAATACAGAGGCAAGGAGCAAACAATAAGCTTCTTGTCAAATCCAAGGATGGTGATAAAGAAAACGAGTAGAGATGAAGAGTGTGTAACAATGAGAAGACACTAGAAAGATAACAGTTGAACAGTGGAGGGGAGAGGACTGAACATGAGAAAAGAAAGAGGAAGAAAGAGAGAGAAAATCTTCGCTCCATATGTACCAACATACTGAAAGTTTTTGCTCCACGGGCTTCCCCTCTTTCACACTACTGACCCAGTTCTACCCATAATTCCCCTGACGGCCATGACACATCTTTATACGCTGTACTGTATCCAATACGATTAGGGGAATTGATGACAATTGTGGCTTATATCAAATCAGAGCTCTGAGAGCTTAAAGGGTTAGTTAACCTAAAAAATTTTTTTGTCATTTATTCTCCCTTATGTTGTACCAAACCTTTATAATTTCTGTTCTTTACATATGAAGAGATAATTTCAATGTATTCTAGTTCAATTTGTGATTATCCAAAAGGAAGGCAAAAAAAACACTGTAGTCTTCTAAAGCTATACAGTAGCTTTCTGTGAGGAACTTCCCCTTCTGCATATCTGTCAAATCACTTATGTGGCTTGTGAACAACTTTGATGATGATAACCTTTATAGCGCTTTTCCCCCAGTAAATATACCCATCCACTTTCCAAGTATGAAAACAGCAGCTTACACACCAATAAAACAAAGAAAGTCATAGAGGTTTGGAACGACATGAGGGTGAGTAAATGATGACAAGAATTTTCATTTTTTGGGTGAATGTAGCTTTGAAAACAAGCTTCGTGTGCTTCAAATGAGGATTCATTCTGAAAGCAAAAACATCACTTCAGAGTCCACAACCCCATTCTTAGTTTGTCACTTAAAGGAATACCTCACCCAAAAATTAAAATTCTGTCATCATTCACTCACCCTCATGTCATTACAAACCCATAACACTTAGAATATAAGTGTTAACACAGAAATTAAGATATTTTTTAATGAAACCTGAGATAACCTTTATGACATTTTTGGATCTTCTAGGTCTTGGTTACCAGGAGGGAAACCTCGCAGGTTTCATTAAAAAATATCTTAATTTGTGTTTTGAAGATTAACCAGAGTCTGAGTTTGGAACAACATGTGGGTGAGTAAATGACAATTTTCATTTCTGGGTGAACTGCCCCTTTAATATATCATCCAACATATCATCATAATTCTAATCATCATAATTCCTCTCTGGGTAATTCATTCCTTTAAACACAGTTTTAATTAGTATCACAGAGTAGCTTAAAAGAACATAATAATTAAGGTGTCAAATCATCAACTATTACACTCATTTAACGCTGTAACACGTGATCAGAGAACAGGGCCCAGAAATGGACAGGGAAAATAATAAAGAGCCTGTAAACTAACTAGGGAAAGCATGAGATTTCAGCACAAAGGAAAAAAAGTAATTTTGTGTCCTAGCAGACACAATGAGAGAGATACATAACATAATAAGAGAGGTGTGCAGGCTAATGCGTCTCACCCTTTTGCGTAGGTTGCAGGTGAGAATGAGGTTTCGAGAGAAGGAGTTGGCAAACGCTGTGTAGAAGTCCAACACTTTCAGCAAGGTTTCTCTCTTTATGATGTGAAGATCACAGTATGTTAAAGCCCGAACATTAGCGCATGAGTGGGCCAAAGTTGTCTCCTTCCAAAACACATCACCAAACACGTCCCCTTTACCTGAGAGAGAAAGAAGAAAAAATACCAGAGAATATGCAAAGGGAGAATAAGAAGAGTCAGTGTGAGACTAGATTGCTTTAATTGGTGTCAATCAAATGCATAATCTCACAGCAGAATGATCAAATCTGACATTTCAATTAATATTCTCTTTATAGAGATGGAGCCTGGCACCGGCTTGAGCTGAAGAATTACTTAACTGTACTGGAAAAAGTTGAGCTTACTCATCTTAAAATGGGTAACTGACCTAAAATTGAAAATTTTCCAATCAATTACTCACTCTCTTGTCATTCTGAACTCATATGGCTTTATTCTTCAGTGGAACACAAAAGTCTTCAGAGGCCAAACTATAGGTTTACGTGATGAACAGACAGAAAAATAGTGGGAGAGTTCACTTAAACATGAAAATTCTGCCATCATTTAATCACCTCATTCCGTTGCAAAACTGTATGACTTACTTTCTTCTGCAAAACACAAAAGATATTTTAAAAACTGTTTTTGAACATTGAAAGTTTTACCCTTGCTCTGGTCTGTTCCTACAAACCCCTCAATTGACTTCAGAAGGTTTAGAACAAAGTGCATGAATCATGTGAATTTTTTCTGGTCCTTCATAGCATAAATTACAATCAACTTTTTCAAGCAGCTGAGCATTCTGCAAAACATCTTTTGTGTTCCACATAAGGAAGGAAATCAAACGAGTTTGGAACAGCATGAGGGTGAATAAATGACAGAACTTTAGTTTTCTGGAATGGAATGGTGACAGATCTTTTTTTTGTGACTTGCATTCAAATTAGATTATTAAAAATAAAAAAAATGTAGGGAAGAGACTTGGTTCTATTCAACAGTTAACAAACCATTAACAACAAGATCAATAGTATTAGAAAACAAATATACTGAATTTTCATTTCATGGCAAGTTCGAATTTTAAGGCCAAAAGGAAACCAAAACTTCACAAATGCAATAAATGTGAAGCACATGACAAACTTACAGCTCAAGGATCATTCTTTTATTATCTTTCATTTTCAGAACTGACAGAAAGCCTTAGTGAAAGAGGGCAAGAAACAGTATGAAAGCAGGATAATTGCTGCATTAGATGAATGTGGTATTATCAGAGAGGAGTGTAGTTGTCTCTACTCGTTTGAGACGCCAAAGATCAATGGCACACTGATCTCTCCCATCACTTTCCGCAGATCCTCGGCGCCAAGAACCTAAAATAGACCTTCAACCTTCAAGTCCCAACCCTGCACTGATTCCATAGGAAGCAGCATTGCTGAACGTGCAGTTACCACAAGAACAACAGACATACACCTGGACAGACCAAAAACCTTATTTGTTTGGTTTAAAAAAAAAAAAATTTCTTGTTTTTGATGCTGAGCTCAGCATAATCTCACCACTGAGATCGTCTGACACAGGTGTTTGTCCTGCCAATTAAAGACTTATTCCTAGTAGCAAAACACATTTAATTGGCTGCACATGCCAGACCAATTAAACCACAATTAGCAGCTGCTAGAAGTGAATGCACAAATGTGCTCTAATTAACCTTTCAAAGCAAAACGTGAAAAAATTTATTTTCCTGAAAATCATTGTTTTGGCGTAATTTTTATAACAAAGCAAACCACTCTAGTGTCAACTCTAATAATAGGTTGTAGAGTGCGAGCACAAAAGCTGTTGTGATGCATTCAGTAGAAAGTATATTAAAAAACTTAACCTCCATACAACTTAATACCTATTCCAAATTGATTTTCAAGCTTTATGTAAACAATATTCTGGTACAAAAAAATAAGGTGTGATTCACATGGTCAGGGTGTTTATTTTGATTCGAACATACTATGTGCAGCAGATCTGGCCTGCAGAGACTTTGTCAAGGGCTCTACTGAGAGTTTGAAGACATTTGTACAGCGAAGAGACCGTGGGGATTTACAGTTTATCTCAGACAGAAGAGCAAAGCCACCAAACATGGTCTCCAAGGAGTCTTTCGTTACCATGGCACTCTGTTGCCTTGGGGACAATGGAACCTATACCTTCAGAAGCTAAACTGTAATATTTTATGATACTTTAACAATAGCTATGTTTCCATCCAACTATTTTTATTTATTATATCGCATAAAAAAACGCAGGATGGAAACACCAAGATGCGCATCAATTTTAAAAATGCACATTAAAAACTTGCGCGCTCAACTAAGTCTGATAAATTTCTGTTTTCTCGGTAAGAAAACATTTTGCCGAATAAATTCCTTAATGTGGATCAAAAAAAGATGTGACTTTGCAATGGGACAGCATAAAACTGGACCAACCAACAGACCGATCTCATTGCACAGCATCTGAAATGCTAGTTTTGTCATTCTAAAATGCTTGAGCAAAGTCTCGTCAAAGTGCTTCGTTATAATTAACTCCCAGAACATTGGAGTTTGCATTCCCAAACATCAGGCTATGAAAATAAGACAACATGACCTCATTTCGCCTGCACGCTGTGCAGCTCATAATTTATTGTATACAAAAATTATTATATACAGTGCCTTCTCCTACTGCAGAAAATTTAAAAAATTTCTTTGCGATATTTAGCGCAAGTTCAGGAAGTGAAGATTATGTTCTCTTCAACTCACTGGATGGAAACAGTGCTTTATTCGCAATTGTTTTATTCGATATTCCAATTTTGCGCATAAGGTTAATTCGTAACTTTGTATGGAAACATAGCTATTGTGTGTAGAGTTTGAGAATGTTAAACTGAGCAAATGAGCAAATATGCAGCGGAAAATGAGGCTCTGAAACCAAACACAAAATTCATAAGAGACAGAATAAGAGATAGCTCCAACAAAAATGAAAAATGTGTCATTTACTCAACATCATGTTGTTCCAAATCCAAACTAAAGAAATTCATACAGGTTTGGAATGGCATGATGGTGAGTAAATGATGCCAGAACCTTCATTTTGGGTGAACAATCCCTTTAAGTAAACAAGTAACTCGTGAGAATGTTTTTCCTTCATTTACGCACATTTACAACAGTTCTGTTGAAGACATTCCAGTGAAAATTGTTTTGGGTAAATGTGAGCCATATGGATAAATGTGACTAATGACTTAATTTCATCTCATTCATCTCCTGCAGAGCCGCTCAGCTCTACACCTCGCTAACTCAGCTCTCCAGGAGCTCATCTTACTCTACCTAGACACCCACCGCCCTCCTGGGCACAGAGAGACACTGTGGGCCCAGGCCTCCTGCTGAGCTGGAGGAGAGACAAGGCCTCAGCTTAGTGGCCATTAGAGATTCATGATTAATGGCGCTGTATGGTTCCGTCGCTATGACGACTCAAGTGAGAATAATTATCCAATGCGATTTCAGTGAAGCAGCTGATTGAAAGTTTGAAAGTTAGATGGTGTTTTTAATGGAAGTCAGTTTGATAGCTGTAGATCCAATCAAAAATCAAATGAATGATGTCAAAAAGACAACTTTAAAGAAAATGTCTATTATTTAAAGTGATAGTTCACCCAAAAATGAAAATTCTGTCATAAATTACTCAAGCTCATGACAATTCAAAAAGACCTTCGCTCATCTTCGGAACACAAATTAAGATGCATCGTGGAGGTGGTACTGTCATGGATATATGTCAAAGACTGACACGGAAGAGAAGAAATTGTCATTATTTTTTATTTATTTGCACACAAAAAGTATTCTCGTAGCTTCATAAAATTAAGGTCAAACTACTGATGATGACACATGGACTATTATAACAATGTCCTTACTACCTTTCTGGGCCTTAAAAGTGGTAGTTGCATTGCTGTATGCAGGGTAAGAAAGCTCTCGGATTTCATCAAAAATATCTTCATTTGAGTTCCGAAGATGAACGAAGGTCTTATGGGTTTGGAACGATGACATGAGTAATTAAACACATTTTTGGGTAAACTATCTCTTTAAATTTCTAAGAAGCATATGCTGGTTTTGTTCTGTTGTGTCACAAATCTCTGTTGCTGCTTTTTAAATCGTTTTCATCACCATGGCAACCAAAATGCAATTCTAATCTAGCATTCAAACTCTGACAGCAAGAAAAGACAGATTTAGAGACACGCTTATAGATGAACAAAAGCACTTTGTTCAGACCCTCAGTCCAAATGCATATCATATTTGCTCATATTTATTAAGTATGAACGACAAATAAATAAAATAATGTGAAATACGATTTTTACAAATCTGTTTCAAGCCACATTCATATGTGGTTTGAAATTCTATTCAAATCACATTTATGGAAATCCGTTTCAGTCTGACCGCTATGAATCGTCATTTTCTCATGCCATGTGCAACCAAAACATGTCAGACGTTGTTGTATGAAACATACTGAAAGCTGGTGCAGGAACAATGTTGTGTTGTTGCGAAGTGCAGGCCGAGTGGAAAATTACGGTATACTGCTAGTCAGCCTGGTTTACACTCTTCTTCGAAGTTTAAAACCGATGGAGATGGCAGCACAGAATAAAGCCATGCCAACATCTGTATTGCAAACCCCGCCACAGGATACACTAATCTAATCTTAACAGTTGCATCATACAGAGTGGATAGTAGGGCTGTCAAAATGGCTGAAAAACTAAATTCGAATTTTGTGCTTAAATATTATCAAAATTCGAATTATATTCGAATTTAAAATGCGTATGATTCGAATGTGGATTTTTATTTTAAATTCGACTAATATTCAAAATTCGAATTTTTTTTTGACAGCCCTAGTGGATAGTCAATAATTTAGAACAGATTCCAATTGGTTACACAAATAATCGGCATTGGAATGGCAGGGTGAACAAAGCTGAAGTTCATAGAATGTATTAATTAGCCTAGTGCTTTTAAAAAACGAACCCAGTATAGCGATGACCTCGTCATCCTGGATGACCTCCAGTGACCCTGACACAACGAAGCAGAGCAGGTCCACGATTTCACCCGCATGAAAGATGAGGTCACCGGGGGCGGAGTGTATCATCTGGAACTCCACGGCCAATGAGCGCAAGCATCCATCACTGGCCAATCGGAACGCTGGATGCTCGTTGAACACCTTCCTGTTCAGGTGCACGCAGATGTCTGCCCGCATGTCCTTGGGGCAGATGGAGAGTACCTGTGCACAGGTAAATTTGCAATTTAGTATTTTCCACAATTAATATGAAAAACTTCAGTTCATGCAACCATCACATCTGTTTCAGTTTCACCTTCTCTGTGTCGATGCCTTTGGACATGGACCACGTGGAGACGATGTAGTCCATCACTCTCTCACTGAGGCCTTTGGGCACCTGGTAGAGCTTGAGGAAATCCCGCACGTCTTTATGTATAATGCATTATAAAAGTAGTTTTAATGCATTAATTATGCCTTGTAATGCATCTTATAATGCATTGAACATTTAATATAGTACATTATAACAATTATCAATTCATTGTTACACTATGCATTTTAAATTCAGTTATAATTATTTACGCCAAAATATAATGTATTACAATGCACATTATTGATAATTATAATGCATTATACCCTTTAATAACCCTTTATAGTGCATTATACATAAAGGCTTTAAGTAAAGTGTTACCGGATATCTTTTATAAGAAAACTGAAAAATGAGTACATGTACAATGCAAACTTCTGGTACTGTTTTTATAGCTTTTCTCATGAGTTACCACAGTATCTTTGCTCCTCGTCTCTATGGCAACCTTCCCTGAAATAGCTTTCCAAATACTTCCACTCATAACCAATAAGAGAAGAGCGGGAACAGAGAAGAAAGCAAAGTGGATGGAATATGATGAGATAAAAACGGATGATGAAAAGTCAACGAAATGACCAAGAATTTGTACAGTAAGAAAAATGATTCTGATCACAGAAAGGCAAAGAGAACCAAGAGTTAAGGGTAGGAGAAGACACAGATAGAGAAAAACGGGGACAACAAGAGCGAGTTGGGAGGACGAAGAGAATGAGTTAGGATGATGGAGGATTTCTTCTCTTTCTGATTCTTATTTTGGATATCAGCCATCTGACTCACCTGTACTGAGAGAAAGTAATTAGTCAAAGAGACCAGACACACATCTGTAAACAAAATATTAGCCTCATAAACACACCAAAGTGTGTGTCAGTCATTTAAAAAAGAAATTCAGAAAGAACTTTTACTTTACGTTCTGATTTTACTGAAATACTGTGGCTCTGTTCATGCTGTAAACAGATTAAACGTCCATGTATGATGTTTTTAATAGGCTGCAAATTAGACTGAAAGCATCAAAACATTTTCAGTCATAAACAAATCAATCTTTTTGTCATACCGGGATCAATATGATTTGAGAAACAAAAACGATCTGTGAGGCAATTAACCTCCATGCAAGCTGTGAATCAGTTGTTATGAATCAGTTATGTGGAAAGTTTTTTTTTTAACTACTTTATATAACTGCACTGAACTGACCTAAGCAACATTTTTGGTACAGAATTTTTAAATTAGAGATGCCATTAAAACATATCTTAACGCTTAATATTCTTACACAAGAAATGCAAAAAAACAAAACAAAGTCCAATAGGTCTTTAAAAGGATAGTTCACCCAAAAATGAAAATTACTCCATGATTTACTCATCCTCAAGTTATCCAAGGTGTATATGACTTCCTTCTTTCAGTCGAATACAATCGGAGTTATATTAAAAAAAATGTCCTTGCTCTTCCAAGCTTACTTACCTAGATTTACAGTCTAGGTTTATCTGGCATGTGTAAGTTAATACAACTATATTCTACCCTACATATCACCCAGTGAGATTTTAAGCTTTTTATCCAGGTGTAACTTCAGGGCAGATATGGAGAAAGCTGTAGAGCACATGGCATGGATGGTGCATGAGGGAGAGTCTCAGGGGAACCTGTACAAACTACCACACATAATGAGGCCTTCTAGGACCTCACTACCACAGAGACAGACACACAGACAGACAGAGAGATGTGGGCAAGACAGGAATAAAGACAGAGTAAGACAGAAGATTCTGATCTTTAGTGAAACATGGAAACAAAAGAGAAAAGATCTTGACTGAAGGATCAGTAGATGAGAACAATGTGTTCAGATAATTACAGAGAGAGAAAGAGAGAATGGGACTGCACTGTGTATGAGCCTCATCAAAGAGTCATCAGAACAGCTAACTACAATTATTCTCTTCATTAATTGTGTACTGCTGTTTTATTGTGCGTGTGTGATCATCTCCCCTTGATCAAACCAAAGTGTTCTGAAGACAACATCACAAGTAGATCAACAGCCCTGTTAAGGGCCTTTGGCTGAAAACAACCTTGTTTCTGGCCTTACACTTTGGCATAAAAAGTGACAGCATACCACTGGGGTGGTACCAATAGGTACCTTTAAGATACTAATATGCACCCTTTAAAGATAAATAAGGTACAAACTTTAGTATACCTTTTAAAAGGGTATTGCCCCAGTGACAGCTTTTGCACTTTTTTTTTGAAAGTCTGGCCTTAATAATGTCATTAGACACATGGGAGAAATCCCTTTTGCTTAGTGATATGCTGGTCACACTGATTAAAGAGCTCTACATTTCATGCATCAGTACCCACAACAGCATCAACGGAGCTCATTTGAGCATCCCCTTAAAGGTTCATAATGACCCATTAGTCTAATAAGCATTTAAAAATGACTCCTCCACCTGTGTGATGTCAGGTTAAAAAGTATTACAGGTCAGGGAAACTGTTGTCTAGGTCAAAAGCAAGAAAATGCCTTATGATTTAGAGATTTAATGGGGGTATATTTACAAAAAGGCAAAGGAAATGAACATGAGTTGGAGCAGAAATGGGAGGCAAGTCATATCTACTCAACTAAAACAGGCAATAACACAAAAATTATGCAATAAGGCAAAATCTCTTGCACTCAGCATTTATTTGATCAAAAATATTTAAATATTATTACATTAAAAAAAAAAAAAAATTATAAATATATATTATATAAAGACACCAGTCTTTAGTGTCACCTGATCCTTTGGAAATCATGCTAATATGCTGATTTACTGCCAAGTTAAAAATTATTAGTAATATAAATGTACATACAAATTAAAAATGTTTTTTTTTATTTAAAGGTTTTATTTTCACTCTTGATCATTTTAACGCATTTTTGCTAAATAAAAGCATTAATTTCTTTTTTAAAAATCCTTTATTAACTGTATTGTAATATTGTAAAGAAAAAAGTAAAAATATAATTTAAAAAATAAATGAATGAAAAGAAATATATAAAAATAACCATATATCTCAACATCAAGGTCATAGTTTTGAGTTCTAGGGAATGTATATATTTGGCATTTGAACCTGGGTTTTCCTGCACATTAAAGAAATACTGTAAACTTAAAAAAGTATCCTTAAAAACATGGATGAGGCCCCTGAGAGTCAGTGCATGGGGGTCAGTGGGGTTTCTATATGTGTGTTTGTGCGGGTCAGCACTCATACATGCTGGTAATTATGATCGCATCTTTGTTTAGTCTCCAGAGTGACTCCTCACCACATGCACGGATCTGGAAAAGGACATTAACAACCATTGGCCTCGTTCCTTTATTCTGGCCAGTTAAATGTCCCTCTCTCCACCGATCTCTCTCTATTACTGTCTCCAGAGTTATTTCTGAAGGAGATGCACTAGAAGCAATGCACTGCTGTCTGGAGGACAGAGGGGCAGATGAGATTAGTCTGAGTTATTCTGACAGAGGAGAGAATAAACAGAAAAAAAGAGTAAAGAAGCAAGAAAGGAACAGAAAAGAGACCCCGTTTAACCTGGTATTAAGATTTACTTTGGCTGATTCGATTTCCCAAATGAAAATTACAATATCTACCCTGATCATCTGTGATCAGATCACTTAGCCAAGACAGGTCTGAAAAATAAGACATGAAAGACAAGCACTCACATCCGACCATCATCATGGCCACAGAGAAGATCTTCTCTCCGTCTGTAGTTGGCGCGATGTTTCCGAAGCCAATAGTGGTCAGGCTGGTCATGGTGAAATATAGCGACGTTATATACAGAGAGTCTTTCCCAGGGCCACCCTCCCATTGGCCAGTCCCACTGGTATTGTACCGGTACGGGGATCCAATGCTGGTGGCTAACTGGTAGAGCCAGCTGTCAGTTTTGATGGTGTTGGTTTGTTCATCAATGACCTCGTAATCTCCAATGCTGTACCATATGCAGGCAAGCCAGTGGGCAACCAATCCAAACACACAGACCAGTAACACGAGCACAGCTGCACCGTACGCCAGATAGTGGTCCAGTTTACGCGCAACACGACCCAATCGAAGCAGTCGAACCACCTTCAGAGAACTGAACAAGCTGCTGATGCCCTGGAAAAGAGAAAAATAAATAACAGACAGTCACATTTAGTATAAAATATAATATATGTTTTACCTATATGTCTTACCTTTACATATCTGTTACATTATGTAAAATTATACCTGTTGTAAATAATATACTGTGTATAAAACATCAGCAGATTTCCTGCATTATATATATACAGTGGGTACGGAAAGTATTCAGACCCCCTTAAATTTTTCACTCTTTGTTATATTGCAGCCATTTGCTAAAATCATTTAAGTTAATTTTTTTTCCTCATTAATGTACACACAGCACCCCATATTGACAGAAAAACACAGAATTGTTGACATCTTTGCAGATTTATTAAAAAAGAAAAACTGAAAAATGCTCAGTATTTAGTAGAAGCACCCTTTTGATCTAATACACCCATGAGTCTTTTTGGGAAAGATGCAACAAGTTTTTCACACATGGATTTGGGGATCCTCTGCCATTCCTCCTTGCAAATCCTCTCCAGTTCTGTCAGGTTGGACGGTAAACGTTGGTGGACAGCCATTTTTAGGTCTCTCCAGAGATGCTCAACTGGGTTTAAGTCAGGGCTCTGGCTGGGCCATTCAAGAACAGTCACAGAGTTGTTGTGAAGCCACTCCTTCGTTATTTTAGCTGTGTGCTTAGGGTCATTGTCTTGTTGGAAGGTAAACCTTAGTTCCAGTCTGAGGTCCTGAGCACTCTGGAGAAGGTTTTCGTCCAGGATATCCCTGTACTTGGCCACATTCATCTTTCCCTCGATCGCAACCAGTCGTCCTGTCCCTGCAGCTTTTCATATATTCTAGATTCCATGCATGTAAAGTAAAACATTTCAAAGGTTTTTTTGTTTTAATTTTGATTTTAATTTTAGAACTTACAGTTCATAAAAGTAAAAAATCCAGTATCTCAAAATATTAAAATATTTACATTTGAGTGTCATTAAATGACCATCCCTACAGTATAAATTCTGAGTATCTCTTGTTCTTTGAAACCACAGCAACAGGGATGACCGCAAGCTTGAGAATACTGTCAAACAAAGCCGTTTCAAACACTTGGGAGAACTTCACAATGAGTGGACTGAATCCGAAGTCAGTGATGATTTGGGGTGCCGTGACGTCTGCTGGTGTTGGTCCTTGTGTTTTACATTTACATTTAATCATTTAGCAGACGCTTTTATCCAAAGCGACTTACAAATGAGGAGAACAATAGAAACAATCAGACAAACGAGAGAGCAACAGTATACAAGTGCTGTGAGTCTCAGTATACTACAGTACACATAGCTAGGTTTTTTTTAATAGAATGGAATAGAATAGAGCAGAATAGAATAGGTAAGTGCTAGTATTAGGTCGTCAGGTGCTGGCGAAAAAGATGTGTCTTTAGACATTTTTGAAAAACCACATTATTTTTCACATATTTTACATTATTACAACACCTCTCTCCCCAGTCTGGCATGAACGGCTCGAATAGTTCCTGTATCAAATGAAGGCCCGCCTTCTGAAATACGTAATGTGTTGTGATTGATTGGTTAGCTGGGCCAGTGTGTGTTGTGATTGGCACCACTCGGCGCCTGGTCGGGAAATGTCATGCCCCTTACCATTGCCGCCTGCGAGCTTCAGTGTAAATATTGCGTCAAGATCAAATCAATTTGAGCCCGATTTAAACCCGGATGATTGTAACCACTCTAAGTTCGTCTGCCTTGGGAAAGCTAGCGTGTCTCCGACATAGTGATAACACTCGTTGCCTTCTCTAGTGCAGCTCAACCAGGTCTCGTCCCATTCGTCGGTATTTGTGATATCACAAATCCCGGAAAATATGCGTTGTAGTCCAAACGAGTCATTCGTTGTACTTTTTGAAAAGTGATTTCTGTTAAATAAAATACCTCCTTTTGA